AAGAGTTACATTACTGTAGTTGATTACAATCAAGTTAAAGTACTCTTTATTATTTGGTATCTTACCGCACTACATATATCTGACTTGTACCTTTTCCCACTGGGCATTTTTTCCAGCAAGTTTTAATCATTCAGCATGCTCATTTAAATGGTTAAATGGACTTACTGAAAGTAAGTCCAACAAGTTAAGTTCTCACCTTCGCAAAACTCAGTTCCTTGAACACACACTTTTTTTGGGTATATTTGTACAATGTACTTTCCTGAGGTGAAAGGCTGACTTCACACAGAGATATATTTGCTGATTCCAGAAACATTTGTACCTGTCATTTACATCCATTTTTACTGGGAAATACAAGGAAGATAGAATGGTTTCAAAGTAAACTGATGAAACTACAAGTCATCAGGGCTGAACAACGTATAAAAACAGAGTTGCTACCACAAAATAGGGACATAAGTTTTAAACAGCACAGCTGACTTAAGATGTAGTAACTCTGCACTGTAATTTCAGATCCAGCGAAAAATAAAATCAGCAGATTCTCCAAGGTCCTATCAGTGACAAACACTGTACTAATTAACGAGATGGACAAAAATGTCTTTCCTAAGAAGCTCTCAAGAGAGCTGAACAGTTAAGAACCACCAGCTCGATGCAGATTACAAAGAACTATGGGATGGAAAAAATCAACTCCACAAATAGCTAGTTTTCACGAAGATTGGTCTTCCTAGAAATCAGCTGTTTACCAGGAATAAGGACGAAGGAATATTGAGTAACAATTCTGATCTAACACTATCTCTAACAACATTACTTCAGTAAATCGAGCTCCAAAGCCACTTAAATCAAACTGCCAACGTAAGTCTCAACAAATCAGTGAAAGGGCAACGGGAAGAACAGTATGAAGGATATGCACGGACAAGAGTCCAACGTCGAGCTGTTCAGGAGAGAGCGCCAGGGCTTTACAGAGACAGAACTGAAAACACGGCGTTTACGAAGCCGGGGCACGAATCGGGAGCGATGTGAGAGGACTTGGGGAAAGTCCCACCTTGCAAGCCGAGGAGTCACAATGACAGCCCGTCATCTGGGCGCTGCTTACAGAACCAACTCGAGCGAAGCGCCGAAAAACGACCCGCTCAAGAGTGACCAGCCAACCACGTTTGCTAAGCTCTCTCGAGAAGCAACAAGCGAGACGCTCCCCCTCGGTCTCGGGCGAGCGCCTCGGCGGCTCCAGACACGCCATCCCTCCGAACGGCGCTCGCTCCAGCCCTGCTCCAGCGGCGCCGCGAACCTCCTCGCGACGCCCCGCGGGAAACTCCCGCTGCGAAACCCGGGAGCGGGGCGAGGGGAACGGCAGCACGGGAGGCGCCGGCACGGCTCCCCCTCCTCCGCCCGCCC